TATCTGTTTTTGTTTCTACTAGATAGTGATCTGAATAGATGTCATATCCTCTTAAAACGCTGGTATCCTATTATTTGTTATAAGCACATCAAGTCTTTTAAAAAATATGCAATACAAACAAACTAATTCATTATATATCATTTTTTTTGTTAAAATACATATTATTTTTCTTTTTGATGATCAGTATAGTCTCTAATTGTATAGAAATAGTTATGCAGTAGAACAGATTTTACTTTTAATTTAAATTTGTGAAATGACTTTAATGTTTAATGTCAATGTATAAAGATTTTTTTTAAATATTGGATATTTTATATCAATTACACTTTCGTGTTATTTTTGGCCGCTCACCGTCAAAAATTGTCATTTTAAGCCACTTACAAAATGTTTCTCAACACTTCTCCCTCTCCATGCAGCATGGTAGCCAGCGTCTGGTTTGTATTTGCAGACGAAGTGCCCGCGTTGTGGTTAAGGATGGCAAACTTTATCAAAACATAGACATTTCGATACATCGTCGAAAGGTTTTCGACGGAAACATCGGCAAAGAACATCGATGTTTTAAATATTGTAAAACGGTATTTTTTAATCTTATTTCCATTTTAATTGTAGTATGTCAGAAGAAATTTGTTTCGCAAAATTAAGTTTGATTCCATTATAAATTTATAATGCCTTTATACAAAAAAATATTGTATGCAACTCATTTATAATGTTGCTTTATTACATTCGTACAAATTTGAAAACTCGCTCCCAAAGTCATTCGTTTTTAAAACATGTACTAATGCAATAATGCTTAACATTATAAACTAACTTTATATTAACTAACTAATTGCATAAACTACTTTTATCGAAGGAAATAAAAAATAAAGCACATCGTATTTGGCTATTTTCCCATTTATTCACTTTCATTCATAATCATCGAAGTAAAAATGTCCTGGATAGTATGTGATACATAGTTTGTAAATATTATTTTTTAGTACATTATGTGTAAAACCACTCTGTCATTTTAATTTTTAATGTATTTTAAAGGCAATGTTCAAAATACAGTTAAGCGATATTACCATGTACAGAATTATCGAAAAAAATATAAACATAATTATTGGGCTAAAAACGAAACAACTATGCGTTGGAAGATTTTTTGGAACAAGATAATGTCTGTGCTTCTTAAATTATTCTTTAACGTACCTTCATCTGTACTGAACGTTAAAGAAAATGCATCGCTTGCTTCAAATTTACTCAAACTCCATTCAGTCAATTCGCCAGTTCAAACATTTTTTATGATACTAAATGCAATAAAAACCGACGTACATGTGTGAAATAATTTTAGAAGATTTAGAGCCTATTTCTGACTGCATATGTGAAAGTCTCTTCTATTTGTGATTAAAAACTAGTCCTCATAAACCACAGAATTCTGCCCCCTCATAAAATAAGAATTTATTCACTTTTGTATGTTTACCGGTTCTCTTTGTATTTTTTCGCATTTACCAACGTAAGAAAAGAAAGTATAATCGTGCGCCGGAAACCGGCGAATTTTCGACACAAAAACTCTTATTGCGGATCCCTAGTAATGAAAAAGTAGATAAATAAAATATGTTAGTTGCTAAGTATAGAAAAAAAGTTCTCTAACATGAGGTGTAGTCTGAATTAATGTTTTGTGCAATACATTGATACCGAAAAATCGATTGACAGCAAAAATTGTCTGTCCGTGCGCAAAGCTAGCGCATAAACCGTTCAGTAGATATTGTCCAACATTGATATTCCCCAATTTTTCTGGCTGTCGCCGCGTATTTTGTGGGTACTTTACATGAAGCCCCTCGTACATTTTCAAACAATGGCTCCAATTTTTTTATTAAAGTTTAAATTCTTGGCTATCCGGGAGACGCCGCGTCGTTGGCTGGGGTGCCGACGTTTCGCCTGACATGTCGCAATCTTCCTCAGGGCAGTGAGTCACGTCGACACGAACCTTTTTTGAGCGATTGACAAATTGTGTGGGATCCAACGCGAACAAATTTTTTTTGACAGTCAAATGTTCATGCAATATTGAATGTATGCTGGTCCCACTAATGCCTAAGGTTGTCTCAACCTCACGATAGGTAACATGACGATCTTGCAATATCAGTTCACGCACAGCATCAATGGTTTTCGGAACAA